TAGCCACATGGTCGTTGCATCCTGAAACTTGGGATGACCAGTTGATCAGTTTTTGCAATCTGGGGTAGCCGTGTGGCACGAGTCCACAGCACAGTCGGCGCCTCGGTTCCTGGCATATGCATAGTCCAGGTGTAAAAGGGTTTAGGGGTTTAGGGTTGAGGGAAGTTGAGAGTTACATTTAGGGTTTAGGGTTTAGGGAAGCCCCAACTTCTAAACTTAAACTCTTTAGGCCCTAAGCTGTTACTAGGGCGGGTGAGCCGTGAACGTATGTGTAGAAAGTCATGCAACACCCTGAGGAGACTTTGGTAGCTGCAAGGGATCGGAGCTTCAGATTTCGGCCCAAACCCACCAGAACCCCCGACTAAGCCCGAAGAGCCGCGAGGAGGGTCCCAATGTCCACCTGGCTGCCTGCGTCGCTCGTGTGATCCACCCCTCCTTCTTCGATTCTTGGGCTTCTTGAAATTTGAGCATGTAGAGCTTTAGGGCAGTTTAGGGTCTATGGCGTGGATGAGTTGATCGGCATTACTCTGTTCATTTGGGACGCGTCGCTCGTAAAGATGGTGCCATGCACAGCCGACAGCCACAGGAGAAGAGGGTGAACAGCAGCCACGGCGCGCACGGCGCCGGCGGCAGCGGCGTAGGCTCGGCTGTCTCAAAGCTGCTGCTTGCGGCCTGTGCCGTGGGCGTTGGTGCATCGTTTTCTGCGCCGATTGGTGGCGTGATCTTTGCCCTGGAGCTTATGATGCCGCAGACCTACGATGCCTTTGCCTGAGTGCTGGCTCTTGTCCCATGCGGGAAGTGTAAGGCCGACCACAAGATCTTCATACCGACTACAGGGATATTTATATCTTGCCATTCAAGAGCCCCAAACCGTAAAGCTTGCTATGCCGAGGCATTTGCATACTGGGGCTGCTTCACCGCCGGCATCATCGGTGCCATCACCTATGCCGTTGAAAGGACTCTGACAAGCGGAGGTGCAGAGATCTTGCCCCTGATCAGCTCCAACGTACCTGTGTCTCCAACTTGAGGTGATGAAGATTTAGCATCCAGGGTTCGACATCTAAACATCACAATATACCTGAGGGTCATAACTTCTCATTTTAGCTTGAGGGTTCGGGACCAGAGGTACTGCCTCATGAGGGGGCGCAGACCGAGTTCCCAGTATTGCGAATCGTCGTGGACATCTTTCTGGGCAGCTCGGCTCGCGACATCGGTAGATGCGTCCTCCCCTTCCGGAGCAGTTTAGCTCTTACAGTAAGCCCTAAACTCTACCGGCACACCCTGAACCCTAAACCCAAATCCCTGAATCCGAACCTTTAACGTATCGTGTTTAGGGTTTATACTCCTAAATCCTTCGACTCACACCTCTAGATCCGAGAACCCAAAACCTGGCGCCAGGAACAGGCGTGCGAAGCTTCAGGGTATTGAGAATGCGGATGCGCCATCTAAACTCTCCAGCCCTAAACCCCTCAGCCCTAGGTTTAAATTTTGAACCTAATAAAACACCCGTTCGTCGAGGGCTTCTTAAAAACTGGTACCAGGATCCCCATAATATTCCTTATGGAGGGAGAGGGGTTTAGTAGCCCGGGGTCAACCTTCGGGTTCCGAATTTACATTTTCCTCTGTCTCGGCTGAAAACCCTAAACCCTTAACACTGAACCCTGAGCCCTCAACCCTGAACCCCAAGCCCCAAGCCCTAAACCCTAGACCCTAAAGCGTAATGCGGGCTGGTCCTTGCTAGAAATGAGGGGAAAAAGCACAAATCCTATCCCTTGAGAACCATCTCTCCCCTCAAGGCCCCGAGAATCTCGACCTGCAGCCGCCCAGGTATCATCTGCGGCCTTTCTGGCGGCATCTGGGTCAGGCCCTGTAGTGGCAAGTTTGAGATTAGGCATTGATACACCTGCACCTTAAAAACCTACGCCCCAAAACCAAACTGTTCATTCTGCATGTTCGATCCTGGACATATGCTATATGGTCAAGCAGACCGAAATTGATTGGTGCCGAAAGCCATCGCTGCTACACGCCCCAGTGCCAAGTGGCCCAGGCTCAAAGCATTGTGTACTTTAAATCACAATTGCCAGACGAGGCGACTTTTGAGCATCAAGCCCGGATGCCTTCTACCCTTCCGTACACCTAGCCGTCGTTGCCACCATCCTCATTATCGTCGCAATCATCTTCATCCTCGTCAAGAGCCTCATCCTCATCTTCGTCATCGTCACCAGCACCAGCATGATTCTCTTTGCTAGTGTTGGTGTAGTTAGTTTTGCAAGTTGTGAACATGATGCTGATGTTTATGGCGACCGCCGTGGTCACTCATACCAGTACTGTTCGTAAAGCTTACTGGCAAGCCTTTCGATCCCCTCCCCCCGCGCAACCCTTAACCCCGAGTCACTAACCCCAAACCCTACTCAAAGGTTCATGGGACTTAGTAACTAGGCTTGTAAATAAGGTAGCTATGCTTCTTATTGTTATCCCCCCAGTTCTTGTACTTATAGCCTTACTTACAGTACTAAGTCCCGTGCACCTCCAAGAAAGCCCCAACCCGAAACCGTCGAAGCTTAAACCTTCAAGAACACCGCCTGATAGAACCCTGCAAAAGAATCTCGTAAAAGAGGACAAGGAAAAACATGCATACAACGACGAAGACCAATACGACGATACCAGGGAAGAAAAGAACTGCATGAACGCCTCAAAAATACGCGAGAAACAACAGCTCACAAGCCTAAATCCTAAAGTCGAGAGCCCCGAAACGTTTAAACCTTTAACCGAGCAGGTCACACGCCTACGTTTCCGGTGTGCTGAAGCGCTGGCGCCTACGGGAGCCTACGCTGGTTTCACAAGGGGGATTTCTATACGTTTCGGGTTAACAAATCGAGATTTCAGGGTCTCCCAAGCGTTGGTTTAGGGTTTAGGGATTTAGGGTTTAGGGTTTAGGGGTTTAGGGATTTATGTGGAATTCCTACGGTCTCATAAGGGATTCTCTGTTAGCTTTGCTTTGAAGAGAGTCCTCGTCTCAGGGTTTCCGGAAGGGATCTTAAAAGGATTGTCGGAAGGCTTTCAGGTCGACTGCTCAGAGGGTCATGGTTTAGGGTTTAGGGTTTAGGGTTATGGGACTCAGCAACTCAGGTTTTTAGGCACTTTAATTGGGACTCTATGTCTATGTAGTTACAAGTATAGTTTTCAATGCTGTCTAAATTTTAGTCTAAATCGGGTTACTAAGTCCCATGACGTTTTAACGTAGGGACCAAAGTCGTTGGCCTCAGGTTCTGAAGTTTGGATTCAGGGTTTTCCCGGCTAAGGCTTGCAATGCAGGCTGGCGTTCTGGGTTTTTAGGTTTCAGGGGTTTACAACCGTCAGATTCCGGACTCAGGGTTCAGGAATTTTGCTAGGTTATGGCCGTGCCCATCACCCTGAAGCAAGACCAGGTTAGGCTTGAGGGTAAGAGGCATGACCCAGTCTAGAGTATAAAAGCCGCCATGAGGCTAGTTCTCTAAATTAGGGTCCCTTTTTTTAATGTCCCCAATCTGGTACGGCACCCTTATAAAAAGGACTCCCCAAAAGGGACCCTAATTTTGAGAGCTACCCATGAACTGGTGACTAGTGGCATGCAGCGGTAAATCCTTACACTGATCCAGCGCACAACCCTGCAGAACACCGTAACCCCACCGCCGTAAACCTTGAAACGGCAAGTCCTGCGGGAAGCAACAGCAAGAACACTCAAACTGTAACCTAAATCCAAGAACGCACTAGGAACACCCCCTCCTGACCCCCCAAACACCCCATGAATCCTGTTTTGTATTGAGAAAGACTTTGTAAATCCTTATTGAGATCATATGAGCCTCATAGGACTGAAAGGAGCCACGAGGCCGAATTTGTTTGCGTGGCTTCCCACATTTGCCGCGACGTTGCTGGACACGCCGCGTGTGGATGTCCACACTTAGCTTTCCGCATTCCAGGCCCGGCTACGACACGGGCTGGATACGCCTCGTGCGGAGTTCCAGTCTCCTCACGGCATGCCTCGACACGCCTCTGGGATTCCTACTTGCTTGCCATTCGTGGGCTCCGCGTGGAATGCCCCTGCCGAGCCGGCTACATTCCAGCACCGGTGCGGCACTCGCGACTTGTTGCACGCACCTGCGAGCGCACGAGAACGCGTGCATCCACATGCGAACTTTGCGAACCCAGAGAGCCCAATACCCCTTAGTTAAGGAATATACCTTAAATTAATTATAGGGCCTTAATATTATGATTTAAGGTGTATTCCTTAATTAAGGGGTATTGGGCTCTCTGGGAAGCATTTCGAACCGAAGGCTGCATGGCGATTTAGCGTCAACTCCCAAACGCCTGCACCTTCACTCCATCGAGCTGTTACACCCTCGTGCTGCACCTGCGGGCGGAACAACCACCCTCCCTCCGGGAGAACTAAGACATCCAAACTTTATCGAGATCTCATGACCTTATGAGAACACCCGGAAAAGCATATAACCATGCATAATAACCCCACAAAAAAAACAGCGAGAACACGCTGAGGAGAGCTCCAACTCGGCGTCAGCTGGCAACCAAGAGCCTCTCCTTGGCCAGGTGCCTCGATTTGGGACTTTCCGAAAAATAGGGGTACTTTATTTTGGGGTCCTCGGAATAAGGATCCTACTATTAAGGGTACTATATTAGGGTCCCCGATTTTCGGAAACCCCCATTTGAAGGTTTAGGGTTTTAGGGTTCGCCTGGAGCACCCTGAAAAGCCAACCCTCGAAGGGTTCCGCATCATGTTTTCCTTGCATAGGTCCTTCGAAAGGGAGGTTTTGCGGTCCAGGCAGTTTTTCGGATTGAAGCTTTATGCGGGGTTTCTTTCTTGCACAAATGCTAAACCTCACACCCCTAGACCGACACCCTAAACCCCGAAACCCCTATACCCGAGACCTCTAGACCTCTAAACCCCTAAACCCCTAAGCTCTAAACCCTAAACCCCTAAACCCTAAACCTAAACCCTAAACCCTGAACCCTAAACCCTAAACCCTGAACCCAAAAGGGGCGTGGCAGCCGTCGCAAGCGGTGGCTCCTCTGGCTCTTGGGAGGAAAGTGGCGCGATCTGGCTCTGGTGGCGGCCATAACTGTCTTGACCCTGGGCTCTCAACCCTAAACCCTAAACCCTAAACCCTCTAAGGTTTTAGGGTTTTTGGGTTGAGGGTTTGCAAAAAGGGCTTCGTGATTCTATCTAAAGCCGGTTGTGATGCAGAGCTTGGGCTTTGACTTGTAGAGTTCAGCAAGGAGACATGATACGGTTGATAATACAAATCCTGCATTGCCCACAGTAAGAATATACCATAATTCCCAGAGTTTAGGGACCTTAAGGTAATGCAGGATTCCTAAACCCTAAACCCTAAACCCTAATTCCTAGACCCTAAACCCTAAACCCTAAACTGGATCAATCCAAAACGGAGGCCTCAACAAGTGGATGCTATTCCTAAGGGTTCCTGGATGTAGCAACATTTTCTCGCATGTGTGCGTGGCTGTGCATAGCTAGAACAGGTAGAAAGACAGATAGAAACGAACACATGTGTCTGTTCAATTGTATCTGCTCGAGTTTTAGGCAAGAGAGGTCTTAAGACTGCAAATCGCGAGAGGACACTGAGTTACAGGCTTGCGTGGATTGTTGGTGGAGAGGTTTTGGATTCAGCATTGTAGCTTGGCGCTTAGGGTGCGCGGCAAATCCTATACCCTAAACCTTCGAATCTTAGAAGCGTAGACTTTAAACTCCAAACTCCAAGCCCTATACCCTAAAAGGCCCTAAAACCTTGTTAAACTCTAAACTCTAAACCCTGAACCCTAAACCCTAAAACCCTGAACCCTAAAACCCTGAACCGCCTGGCTTTAGCATTCAACCCTGTGTCTTCCAGGGCTCCGAAGCATTAGGGCCGCCAGGGTGTAGGGTGTACAAAAAAAGGGGGGGTCGGAATCACTAGCAATACGGTTGCTGGTATAAATCCTGCATTACCGTTGCTAAGGAAGATGCCATAATTCCTGTAGTTTAGGGTCCTTAAGGTAATGCAGGATTTCTATCATCAACCGTGGTATCCCCTTATAGTCCCTGTATTAGCATGATATTATAATATACATTTATACACGCTGTATACCTTAACTAACACCCCGCATTGAAATTATTAAGGAGCCGAAAAAAAGGAAAGCAGCCCCAAGCATTGTTGGGGTTTAGGAACACGTTCCTCGCCTCCCGCCTGCCACTGCTGGGGGGCAAGCAGCAGCCCTTGCTTATCTCGTCCCTCGGAAAGTAAAACAAAGTTTGTGTTTGGCGTTATTGTTAGGGTTTAGGGTGTTTAGGGTGTTTTGGGTGTTATGGGTGTTACCTGGACCCCCAAAGTATGTAGAATAATAGCCTTGTAGAGGCTTTGGGCCATTATTTTACCTACTTTTGGGGGGTTTAGGTATGGGTGTTAAGGGTTAACCGTTTAATACGGTTCAGGGCCTGGGATCGGAGAAGAGCCTTAGCCCCAAGGGCTGATCAGGGTTGTGGCGGGCGTCGGGCACAGCTGTCCTGAGGAGCGTGCTTTCAACGTCTCGAAACTAAACCCCTAAACCCCTACACCCCTAATTCATGCGCCGTTTTTGAAACACTCTTGACTTAGCCTTAACCTTACCCTGAACCGTAAGTCCCACACCCCAACCTCCCCTGAAGCCTAAGCCTAAGCCCTAAAGTCGAAGGCCTAAGCCCTAAGCCGTAAACCCTGCGAAATAGTAGGTTATGACAATTATGACCCCAGGGTCTAACCCTGAAAACCGTAGGGTTTTTGCATATCCCGGTTAGCCCTGAACCGAAGGAAGGCGGTCTCAGCTCTGGAATGGCAAGAACTGGCGGAACTCCGAGTGGCCGCAATCCTAACCCCAAGTCTAGGACATTTTCAGATGGGTAGTTACCGTTATGGAGGTCTATATACCTTATAGAAGCCTTATAGAAGCCCTATAAACCCTAAACTCCCCACCTGTAGTTTCCCTTAACCAAGAACAAGAGCCCTAACCCCCAACCCCCTAACCCCCTGGAGAGGTCCTGCTAGCTGAAGCTGGTGCTTTTGTCAGTGGAGGGCACAAACTCGGATGACAGTCTACGCATCTATACACACGACCAAAGTAACAAAGGACTCACAAATTGTAGTTATGTCACCGTTCTGGTCAAGGGCTGGCGACGGTAGCAAGCACGCTGTACAACGCAATGGCTTGAACAAGACTGCTGTGCACTACTAAACGTATGGTGCATGACGTTCTCTACCGTTGCTTCGCCACAAGCCCCTGGGTAGCAACACACACAGACACTTGCAAACGAATGCCTAATACTCGTTCCCAGAGAGCCCAATACCCCTTAATTGAGGAATATACCTTAAATCATACTATTAAAGCCCTTATAGTGTAAGGTATATTCCTGAATTAAGGGGTATTGGGCTCTCTGACAGACTGGAGTTAGGGCTTAAGGCCTCGGATTTCAGGCCGGATAGGTTTGAAGATCAGGCCAAAGTGCCGGCTGACTTATTCTTAATTGCCGCATAGAATCCCCCCAGCCCAAACCTGCTTCTAGACATATCGCAACTTGGAGTCTTGGATTCAATCCTAAGCCACAACCCAAAAAATCTAGAGCCTAAACCCTGAACTCCGATGACGGGCCGAGGACCATTTTCGACAAGAGGTTGCATTTGAACAGCCCGGAGCTGGGGAGGGGCGGGGGCTTAGGTTCAGGGTTTAGGGTTTAGTGGGGTTCAGGGTTTACGGTTTCTGAACCCTAAACCCTAAACCCTATTAAGGTCAGCGCCTCGGTTTCTGGCATATGCGTCAACCAGGTGTAGAAAAGCTATTGGGGTTAGGCAGGGTTCGGGGTTTGCGGTTTAGGGTTTAGGGTTCCCAGTTTAGGGTTCAGGGTTCAATAATTTAGGGTTCCAGTTTAGGGTTTAGAGTTTAGTAATTTAGGGTGTAGGGTTTAGGGTTTAGCGTTTAGGGTTTCAGTTTAGGGTTTCAGTTTAGGGTTCAGGGGGCCGGCAGGTTACTTCCAGGATTAGCCGACAGGAGTATTGCTTGGCGTAAACCCTCTACGCTTTAGGGTTTCGGGTTTAGGGTTTAGGTTTAATCCTAAACTGTGACGCTCCAAAGCCTAACCCACAAAACCTTAACGCCTAAACGCCAAACCATACGCCAAAGAGGCCCGAGTGACTGTGAACCGGCCGACGTACTATCCTTTGTGCTGCTAGCTCCCAACCTCCTGAACTAGGCATCTTTCTCAAGCCCAAAACTCTCAACCCCAGTTCTTAGTCCTAAAGCCGTCTAAGACAGCATACAAGCCGTCAAAACCCACTAGCACCTTATCAAGAATGATCTAGACCACGTACTTGTTCATCAGCCGAAGCTCAAGGACTGTCTAAGGGTTCAGGGTTCATGGACAGGTATCGTTTCTCTTTTGCGAGTGTTGAGGTGCAGGGTTGAAGGTTTGGGCTTGTACAGTCCAAGAACCCTTCCCTAAACCCTAAACCCTAAACCCTAAACCCTTAACAGGACCCTTGTAGAACACTTCTACAGCTTCTGAAGGTCGGATTTGGGAGTTCCAAGCTAGAACCCCGATTTGATCACACCGACTTAGCGCATTGGCCGAGTGGCATTCGCACAGTGCCCGATAAGCTTCAACTAGCCAATACAGCTCGCATAAACGAAGGTTGGCATTCAGATTCCCTGAATAACGATTGTTGGGAAAAAGATAGAGGAGAAAAAGTCTGAGCTGTACGCAGAGAGAGAGAGAGAGAGAAGGCTTGCAGAAGAAAAAATCATGAGCTTCTCAAAGAGGACGAGCGTATGGAAGAGTTGGCAGAGAGAGTGATGAATGAACAAAAACGCCTAAGGCAAAAGAGGATGGAGTTGAAAGACGCAACCAAAAAAAACCGTCCACAGTTGGATCTCCCTGGAGGCTGAGCAGACCCGGGGAGAAATGTACGAAAAGCTTCAGGAAGCCGAAGGAAATCCCGTGGCCCTAAACCCTAAACTGCCGAGAGCGCCGATGACCATTCGCATGGGGCACTTGAGGCTCCGACCGAGGCCCCCGGCCGAGCGTCACAGGGCACAGGGCAGGGCATCCTGCACCACTGAGGTCATTGTGCTTTTGGGGGTGTGGCCTGAGGGGGTCTACCAGGCATCCTGGGACCTCCTGCGCTAGTCCGAGGGGGCGAATTTTCCGACCAGGCTTTGGGAGGGTTTTGGGGGTGAGCCCTTACAAACCCTAGTTGAGAATAGTTTGGGTGGTTTGGGGGGGGACTACATGCGGACGCCAGCACGCGACAAGTGGGCGCGCCCCTGTTCCCGAAGTAAAAGGCACACCCACCGCGTGCACGAATTTCATATCTGAGGCCAAACGAAACCCCAATCACCTAAACCCTTTCTTAAGGTCCTTGTCCTTGACCACAAACCCGGCGAAAAAAGAACTTGTAACCCCAAGCCACACCAGACCCTCGGTTTGGGGTTTAGGGTCTAGGGTTTTCGGGTTTTAGGGTTTTAGGGTTTCAGGGTTTTATGGTTTAGGGTTAAGGGTCTAGGGTTGTCGAACCCTAGACTGAAACCGTTGAGGCCGCAAGCCCCCACCGTAGAGCAAGACCTTCAGCCCGCTGTAGCCCCTCACCGTAGAGCAAAGCCCTTTCACCCTAAGTCGCCAAACCTTAAACTTAAGCCCTAACCCCCAAACCAAAAGAAGTTTAAATGCTCAGTTCGTAAGCGAAAACCCCGAGATGCTCGAACCCAGAAAGCCCCAAACCCTAAATCCTCAGCCCTTAAAGGGAGACCTCCTATGTCTTATGAAACCTCATAGTACTCTTAAAGGGAGCCCTCTTATAGAACCGCATAGTGCCCTTAAGAGCCCTTTTACAGAACCTCAGTACCCGTAAAGGGATACATACCTCTTATAGAACTCCATAGTACCCTTAAAAGGAGCCCTCTGATAGAACCTCGTAGTGCCCTTAACGGGAGCCCTCTTATAGAACCTCGTAGTACCCTTAAAGGGAGCCCTCTTATAGAACTCCATAGTACCCTTAAGGGAGACCTCTGAAAGAACCCCACAGTACCCTCAACGGGAGCCCTATTGTAGAACCCCATACTACCCTAAACCCTTACCCTAAACTCCCCCAAACCCTAAACCCTTAAAGGAGCAGTGGGTACTTCCCTGGGCTGGCATCACCGGCACCCTGACCCTTTGCTTCCTCACGAAGTGGCTCCTAGGTTCTCGTTAGAAGCCTTTTCGTCATTAACCTTGAACAACCAAAACTCACATTTTTTTGCAGGGCCCCTTGTAAATCCGACTATTGGTGTTGTACAGAAAGTAGGCTATGATAGGTAGGGCTGAGGTTTTCGGATTCAGGGTTTGCGGTCCGGGTTAGTAAGCGTACCGCAAGGGGCGTTCTAGGCTCTTGGCCTTTCGAAGCTATGAGAGTTTCGGGCTGCTTGAAGGAGTGGTTGAGTTGCAGTCCCCCAAACCCTAAACCCTAAACCCTAAACTCGTAGCTAGGGGGCGCGTGCTTCCTAGCCTACTGAGGCAGTTGTTGTGGGTTTACTTACTCTTGAGGCGCTTGCTTGGCCACGCGACGTTCGCAAAACCAACAGCCAGCTGGAGCGCGTCGTTTCGGGAACTTGACATGGCTACCGATCTGGCTACCATGCTGGACACCGTGTGTGTCAGTGTAGCCAACAGCGCTTCAAGCGTGCGGGTGGCTGACACCCTAAAAAGGCAGGCCGCAAACGCTTTCGAAGTGGGGGAGACCCTCACGCCGCAGGACGCTGCCGATGTCAAGAGGCGGGCGGCGGCGGATGCGGGCTACGAGGTCACCTTCCAAAGGGTCAAAACGACTGCAGGCGACCATGCCCGTGTCGCGGCTCTCCGAGGAGTGATTCGTACTTGTGGAGCCGGCAGATCCGGGTCGAGGAGGAGGAGGAGGAGGGAATCCACACTCTTGTTGTGGGGGCCTCAGCGTTCGAGCTCCGTCAGTGGGCCCATCATGGGCATGTCTCGTTTTGGCTACCGCTGTGCGAGGGACGGAGGCAGGACCTACCTTCACATGGGGCGCGCCGCCATGACTGGGCTGCAGGCCAAGTTGAAGGGGCCGAATCGGGCGCCCATTGAAAAGCTTGGTAAGAACGGACTCCGCAGGACCCACTACACGCAGACTACGTTGGCCACCTTGTCGCGATTCGTGCGGTATTACGGGGAGGCTTGCGATGTGGCCTTGGCGACGGGCGTATCTATGTTTCCGATGGAGCTGCTCTTCGAGGAGCTACCGCATAACTTCGGGTACCAGGAAAAACACTGAGATCGAAGACTTCGGGGACGGTTTTTCAGTGCCCACGGACGAGCGGACCACACGGGACGGGTGAGGGCAGATCACACCTCCTTGAACGTGCAAGCCCACGCTTTTTGAGACGTCGTCCATTACATCGAGACCATCGCTGAGCGCAGCAGGACACTCGGCAGTGCCTTCGTCTTCATCCGGCGGCGGGGCGGAATCACGCTGTACGCCATGGTGAACAACGACCACGCCCAGGAGATCCTTGAAAGGCTCCGGGCGTCCACGGGCCCGTCGTGGTGGATGTGCTCTTCCTCGACGGCCGCAGCGGTCTGGGATACTATGGTCGACCCGGCGCGGCTGGCACGCTCGTACACGTGGGCCACCGAGAAAGGGCTTTGCGAGCGGATCGTCAGGTTTCCTAACTGCCAGGTCAAGCAGTATGCCAGGGCGTACACGACCGACGATGGCGCGTCCACCTTTGTGGAGGTCGTAAACGGGGACGAGACCATGCAATCCCTGAGTCGGCAGCAGATCGAGGGTCAAGCGAGCGGGCACCAGCGAAGTTCGGGTTCACCGCGACAGCTGCAGAGAGAGCCGCGTGCAAGGCGAGCCTGGTTGGATGCGACGAGGAACCGGAGGGGCTGCGCAAGATCAAAAAGTTGGCTGCGCAACAGATCAACGAGTCTGTGCCATCACCCACCAGTGTGAGGTCCAGTACTTCAGTGCCCGGGGTGTGGAAAAAGCCACTCGATTCGCCAGTGTTACCGCGCCGGAGCGGAAAGTTGGAACATGGATTTAGGATGAGTAGTGCTGGGGTCCCCTACACTTTACCTTAAGGGCATGAGGATGTTGATGTTCCAACTTCCCGGCTTGAGGGTTACTTACCACCACAACATCCTACGGCTTTTCTGTCCAGAGGGCTTCAGACTTCTCAGGGGGGCAGTGTTACAAACACAGAGCGGTCGTAAACCTAAAACGAAGATCTTCCATAGTTTGGGTTCGCAAGTTCACAAGCAGCGCCTTTTGGTTGTTGTGTTGGAATTTCCATATTAAGAATGCCACTCTGCTGACTGGCGAGTTCAGGGATGTCTAGGAGATAGGGTTTAGGTTCTGAGCTTCATGTAATGAGATTTAGGTTTCAGGTTCAGTTCAAGGCTTCAGGTTTTCGGCTGAGTTGTTTGTGTTTCTTGACTGCGGTTCACTCGTTTGGAAGGCAAGGTGGCTGCCGAGAAAGCAAAGACCGCGGCCCCAATCGAGACTCTACACCCCAAACCCCAAACCCTAAACCCTAAACCCTAAACCTACACCCCAAACCCTAAACCCTAAACCCTAAATCCTAGACCCCAAAACCCAGCCCTACACCGTAAGCCCTGCACTGCCACACCCAAACCCCTGCACCCTAAGCCGAAACACCGACTTAAGCGCATGTTTTAGGGTTTAGGGGTTTAGGGGTTTAGGGTTTAGGGTTAAGGGTTAAGGGTTTAGGGGTTTAGGGTTTAGGAGTTTAGGGGTTTGGGGTTTAGAGGTTTAACGGTTAAGGGTAGGCGGTTCCTTGATGAGGCCTTGGAAAGCTGTATGGTAGCCCAGGAAGCCGCCCAAGATGTTCCGATATGCCTTCAGAAACGGGTTTACGGTTTAGGCTTTAAGGTTTCGAGTTTAGGGGTTGCGGCTTAGGGTTTAGGGTTTCAGGGAACGTTGCTTATTGTCTCCCTTCATCATACAATCCTGAAGCGCCCAAAGCCCGAAATCCTAAATCCCTAAGCCCAAAGACCTATGTTCACAGCACGAAACATCAGAACGCTTTTGTGACCTGCAGAAGAACCACAGACAATGCCTTATAGGGAACAGAGCTTACCGCATGCAAAAGAACTGTATCCCAAGCCTTGCAGAAGCAATTGATCCCTACAGATGGGGTGCTGACAGTAATGATCTAGTTCTAGTATATGCCCAAGCTCTGTTCCTAGTTTCCAGGTCCCCAAATTCTGACTTCTCGAAATCTGTACAGTGAATTCCTTTTTAAAGCCCCGGTAGAATCCGAAACCTAAACCCTACACCCCAAA